CCAGTCCAGTCTGTGCTGAAACGCTACTGTCAATCAAACTATCGTGGGAGGGCCTTGGTCTGTGTGACGTCACACAGACAGGCATCTGAGATCGGCTTGATTTGAGAAAAGGGAAAATAATTTAACGAGATAAAAATAAAAACCACTGGGTGAATTTTTATCATTATAGGGTGGTTGTGTACACACACTGCCAACACACATTTCAGTTCAAACAACTTGTAAAAGTGCATGTCACATCCGATGACCCCTTTAAAAAATATGCATTCTCAAGGTTCAAAACATCTGAAAATCTAGACTGGAAGTCAAAGTCACTTTGATGGTGCAAGACAGTTTGAGGGAACAACCTGCAAACTGGCATTAGGAATATTGAGGAAATAAGTATACTGACATTATTACAAAAGATCAGATATACTCTGACAGCAAGTACAAAGAATAAAATAGACAGAACGCTTTGCCATGTCAAACATAAGACCATAATATTTAACACATCAAATTTAAAGTTTGAGTTAGTCATGTAGTTTGAGAAAGGACTTTGTAGGGACTTATTAGGTCAAAGATGATTAATTTAGGGACGTCTATGTGTGCTGTTGTGAGTGTGTTTTTTTGTGAAGTAGTTTTTCTAATCCCCTTGAGTTGAAAATGGCAGCATCTGACCCATTAACCGTAGTCAACCTAATTTTAGTTTTTCTCAGGCAATAGCATGAGTGTCCTTCTTTCTGTCCAGAGGGACAGCAATAACACAGACCAAAAGGAGTGAAAAGGGCCAATGAAACAGTTTTGCATGTGGTCCTTTGGGTTTGACTGAGATTAGAGAAATTAGAATATTCCTAATGTTGGCCAGTAACCCCATAGTGTCTTTGGGGAAATCAATAGTTACAAAACAGACCAGGGTCTCAAATTAGGTCTCCCTTGGCAGTAGTGGGAATTCTGCTTTGATGGGTGGCTTTATGGTTAGTGCACAGCCTTATAGATCTGGTTTTAAGATGCAGAAATTAAAATATTCCTAATGTTGGCCAGTAACCCCATAGTGTCTTTGGGGAAATCAATAGTTACAAAACAGACCAGGGTCTCAAATTAGGTCTCCCTTGGCAGTAGTGGGAATTCTGCTTTGATGGGTGGCTTTATGGTTAGTGCACAGCCTTATAGATCTGGTTTTAAGACGCAGAGACACCACTTGTTCAGGTAACTTCATATGTTTGTGTTCTGACTGTCTTTAGAAAAAGACTATGGGGAAAAAAGAGGACAAAAGTTCTAACTAACAATTAAGAAGCAATAAAAACATCTCCCCCTTGTCAATTTGTATAATTAGTGCTATCATCCACTGTGATTTTCAATCCATTCAATCCATGTTTCTCAACACATTGTTCATCGGCATGATGGATGTGGCATGATGGATGTATCTTACCTACTCATTTCCCTCATGTCACAGGGTTAACAGCTTTTCTAGAGATATTTCTCTAGATAACATGTGCTTCCTGCTGTGGAGACAATGGATGCAAAGTATCTTAGTTCAGCAGCATTCGGTTTCATCTTATCCTCACATACATTTTCTCTGATTCATCCAGTTTCTTTAGTTCAACCTCAGATTGCCTAACAATGTTTGGACAGCAGAGTTATATGTAAACCACTTAAATTATATGTAATTAAATTGTCTTTCAAAGTGTATAAAATATACCATATCCAAAGATACACTGTACTTAGCAGTGTGAAATTATATCAATTTAAATATTATATATATGCAATTAGATAAATCTAAATACAACATCAGAATACAAATCAATATTCTTTATTCCACATACATGTATTTTGTTCTTTTACTTTGAACTGTTTACAATCTAAATGATTCAACAACAAAATGAGAAACTACCACAACAAAGTCAGAATTTCTTACTAGGGAAGGAAAGAAAAAGAAAAATAATTATTAAAAAAATGAATAATGGTATATCGACTGGAAATGGAGACATTTTGTATTTTGTACCAGATGAGGGGTTAGAGTCACAGAAATGGACAAGAACACAACTAAAAATGGTGTGTATACTTGCAGCAAAATCATGAATTTAAACCATTTGAAAATCTTCACCTTGTATTATTGAGTTTGAACAAAAGGCCTTTTGCTAATAAATAATCTCTCTTCTTTTTTTCCAGATTATAAACAAATATAATATTCTTCATATCAGGAGAATAACTTGGGGTAGACAAACGGCACACATGTTCCCCGGAGTAACATTTCACACCCGCTAAAGCCCTTTGTCCTCCATCCTCAAACAGTTTGAGTAGCGAGACGATGGCTTGGTCACACAGTATTTCCTTCGAATCAAGGCCTGTTCAAATTTTGGCGGTCATTGCATTTCGTGAACAATGCAACAAAAGAAAGTGTTTATACATGTTAACATATACATACATAACTGAGCATTACGTACATATACGCAGGATAATGAGGGAGAGAACAGATTACGATCATCTGTTGGTCGCAGTGAGAAAGCATGTGCGAGCCTCGGCAAATAAGAGTAATACTTGAATTTTACAAATCGGTTCTGTACACAATTTGTGTTGGAGTGTTGGTGAACATCCCCTCTTAACAAGAGGGTTTCATACAAATTGAAAGTGGTTCATTATTGACACATATTATTCCCCTTTCGCATCCAGTGAAATCCAAGCTTAACCAAAACCTGGACTGAACCTTAGGGACTGTTGAGTTTCCTGGCATTGGTTTGAAGGAGTCCTGTTCCAGGTAGCATTTGTGAAACAAAGATCAGGGTAAATTCCTACTGGTATTACTTTCAATGTCTTAAATCATTTTCATGTTAAAGCGACGTGGTCCAGCACCCTGGTCCGCCTCCTCAGCAGAGGTCCCATTGGACTTTGAGCGTGGCACGTACTCAATATCAATGTTGTTTTTATGTTTGCCTTTTCCTCTACTCCATACAAACAGGAGCAGGAAGCAGAAGAGAACCACTCCTAGGAATGTGAAACAGCCCATGGCTGTAGAAACTAAGATAGTCTTTAGGTCCAGGCCAAAGGTCACATTGGGGAGGTTGGTACCATTGGCAGTGGCATTGCTTGAATCCGTGTAATGCTGGGTCCTGTTGGCATACAGCGAGCCCAGACTTTTCACTGCCAGTGATACCATAAGAGTGTCATTGCCTGCCGTGTTAGAGGCCACACACATATACACACCGTCATCCTGAACCTCCGCCGCCTTGATATCCAATGAGCCGTTGTTGTGGACTATCACCCTGCCATGGCTCCTGTTGGTCAGGTGCCTCCGACGTGGGGTGACCCAGGAAATAGTGGGCCGTGGGGTCCCCTCTGCGCTGCAGTGTAAACGGGCTGACTGTCCCTCCTCCACGGACACCATCTGAGTCCGGTTTTCTCTTATCTTCGGCTTGGTGCAGGTCACGTAGTAGGATAGCAAGGTCTCTTTGAACTCCTTGAAGGGGCGTCCGTGAATTCCTTCCGGAGTGCTGCACTCGGGCTGGGTGTCTCCAAAAGAAATGGAATGGCGTCTTTGCAGCAACCACATGAGTCGGCAATCGCACACCAGAGGATTGTTGTTGATCAACAGCACCTCTAGGGCCTCAGGAGCATGGAATACACCCCTCTCCAGGGTATCAAGGTGGTTGTGGGAGACATTTAGTGAATGGAGCCAGCGGATGCCCTGGAAAGCGTAGGGTTCGATGGACACCAGTTGAGACCCAGCCAACCTCAGTTCACGCAATCGCACCAGGTTCTGAAGCAGGCCACCCTCCACCGTCCGGATACGACTGTAGGAGAGGTTAAGGTGTGTGAGGTAAGGCAGGTGGCGAAGAGCCTGGTAAGGGAAAGTGGACAGGTTGGTGTTGGTAATAGAAAGCATGGTGAGGTTGAGGCCATGCAGAGAATTAGCAGGGACCAAATCTAACGATGGCCAGTTGTCAATCTCTAGGTGACGGAGGTGGAAGAGCTTCTTGAAGGAGTAGGGGTGTAGAGAGCTGATACTGAGGTAGCGCATATGTAGGCTCACCAGGTTGTGCAGGTGGGACAGGGCATCTGTGGGCACCACCGTCAAGTTACAGCGCTCCAGCATCAGGCTCTCCAGTGACAGTAGTCCACTAAAGGCCCGATGGGAGATGTAAACCAGCTCATTGTCTCCAACTTCTAATGACCTGAGGATGCGCAGGTCCTGGAACATATAGTCCACCAGAATGACAACTTTGTTGTCACTGATATCCAGGTTCGTCAGGTTGGAGAGGCCGGAGAAGACGCCTAGAGAGAGGAGCTTGATACGGTTACTCTTTAAGCTCAGTGTGTGGAGGCTGTAAAGCGAGCTGAAGGCTCCAGGCTCAACATAGGCAATGATGTTCCCACTCAGGTCCAGTTCTTCTATGTGTGGATAGACAGCAAAGTCATCAGGGTTGACGGCCGGAATGCGATTCTTGCTGAGATCAAGGATTCGTGTCTCAGTTGGGACTCCATCAGGGATGGCGTTGTAGCGCTTACGGTGGCAGATGACAGAGCGGGTCTGGGCGGAGCACTCGCAGCGAGCGGGGCAGGCCAGAGTGGAGCCCACAAACACGGCCACCAGGGCCAGCCCCAGCAAAGGCTGCCAGCAAGACACGGCTGTGTGCAGCATGACTCGACTCAAACAGTCCACCATACTGTCATGGCTCTGAAAGAAACAGAAAAACAAAAAGTTAGTATATGAACTAACATTGCATAGAAGCCATAAGTAATATACAGGTAGCATCTTTAGCAAAATAATAATAATAAAAAAAAACTTAATCCCACTTATCAATACTGGTTAGTGTCTTGTAACATTATATGCACAACATGGATTCATCTAAAACGGCAGGAGACACCACTCAATGGACTTCATATGAATTTGTTTGTATTGCACATAAAAAAAACTAGCTGATTAGTGTAACCATGCACATACAAATGAACACTGCCTCAGTTCTTGCTTGTGGGTTTGTATGTGCATGGATTGATTCTTTATTGTTTGCACATGAATTCACAGCCCTACGGGTGTCCTGCTGTTTTTCTTTCTCAGTCAGTTCAGTACTTTTGAAGATTTGGACTTTCTCGCCAATACATTTCTGTGTGGTTTTGCAGTTTTCCTAAAGCTGCTTTTTAAATCGAAATCTTTTTCACAAAATCTATGCTCATTAATAATAGTACCTAGCATTATACCTATTTAAAAGAGATGTTCAAAGTAATTGTTAAAGACATATTAATTAAATGCTAATTTAATTATAAACATTCATAGAGTATTACTTAGAGAACAAAGACCATAATTTACACAATTAACTTAATTAACTTAAATAATATGATTTTAGTTTCAAAGTGGACAGCAGCATAAATTATTTTGGTGTTTGAAAGCTTTTGTTCATTATGTCAACAGAAAAACAATTTGCTTATCGGATTCAGCCTTGAACATATAAAAAGTTTGGCTTTATTTTTTCTAATCTCCCTTAGAACTTTCAAAGAATATACATCTACATTAATCATTTGAACAGCATAAACATATATACAGACATAAGACAAACCCGGATTATAGAGATTTCCAAACTGCACTCTGGCGCATCATAAATATAAATAGTTGGAGGGCACAATCCACTGGTGCAGACATTACAGATGCAATTATGTAGATTATTACAAAGGCGGAAAAGATGAGTAAATGAGGCCTCAGAGGTTAATAAAACACATTTACTGCTTTTTTAGACATTCACCTTAATACGACCTCTGCGCAAGACTCAAAACAAATCATAGAATCATATAATTTTTGTCCTGACATCAACACTCATCCAAATTCAAAATCTGTTTATGTGTGTGAGCCCACCTCTAAAAGAGACGCTGACTGCATTTGAGGCCAAACACAATAGTCAGGTGACAATAAAATGTGCAACTTCTTGTTTTTGAACCACCTGTACTGTTTCTTTTAAACTTGTGACCTTTATGTTGGACTCTTTCTGTTGTCACTCTTACCTGTTGCTAACGTTTGTCAGATATTATTCTCAGACCTTCATAAAGGCCTTGATTTTAAAGTCAACATGAAAATCAAAATCAACCTCTTTTACTTTCTGAGGAACGAAGGTCTTAATACTCTTCAAAATATAATAACTTGTGTTACGGCTCATGAAACAACTTCCTAGAATTCTTTGAAACAACCTTACTTTTTGGCTGACATCTTGTACTTTTTAAACCCCTCCTCTTAATCTACCAGGCTCTATTGTTGTGACAACCACTTGATGGACAAAATCAAGCCCCACTCTCAAATATTTCTCATTGAATATCCTGTTTAAACTGGAAATATATGTAAAAAATGGGATTTTAAAATTAGTAATTTAAATTAGTAAAATGGGATGCAAACAACATTTCCTGTTGACTTTAGAAGCCCTGGCAGCGTGATTACTCTTCTCTCTTGTTTGAGGATTATTTATTTATTTTTGGCTCAGTATACTCAGCATCGTGTGAAAAATCTCACTGCAGTCAAGTCACAGTGGTGTCTGCCTGTGTGCATCAGCAAAAACAAGCCCTCTCACATGATGCATGTGGAGACACTTTCATAAACGTCCTGCAGTGTGACTAAGTGTGCATGTGTTTGTTTGATTGTTTATGCAAATATGCAGTTTCACAGTCACATTTGAACCTGAGATGGCTGTTTGTAATTGATGCATTATAGTGTTGAAGTCATAGCAACATTTGCACTTGCACTGCATCTGATATGAACTTACTTTGAATTGTGGGATGTGCATGTCAATGTTTGACCTCTAGAGGGCAGGTTTGCATAATAGGGTAATTCAGAAACCCAAATGAGGACATAAGTAATAACAGATTCAATCAAAGGAGTGCTATTTATTATAAGTGTGTTCATTTGTAAATGTAGACAATATTTAAATTAACTATAATGTAATTTGAACATTTTATGAGAGCTAGATTAAAAATAATTTTTTTTCCTGGTTATCTGTAACATGTGCACTGTAAATTCTACATAGGAAATTACAATACAATAAATTAAGTCAATATATCATCTAAATTAACATAAAAAAACAACAACTTTGCAGTCTTCAGTGAACAGTACAAATGAACGTGTCAGGAATGCATAATGAACTAGAGTTTAATGACGTAAACATAATTTTTTGATTGTTCCTACGCATTTGGCAAAGATAAAACAATGTGATGTTCAAGTAGAAAATGCAAAAATGAGTATCTGCAAAGCTCAACAACGAGTAGTGTGTAAGTGTGTGGGTGTGTGTTGGTGAAGCAGACAGATTGTGAAACAGGTTGTGAAAAGTGCACAGACACAGCAGCTCATCTGGTGTGACATGGGCTACACTAAATTTAAAGAGAGAAAAAGAGGTGCAGAAACCCCGCAGGCACAAAACACAGCTTGGTTGAGTTTTAAAACATGTATATGATCTCTTTATATGACGTGAAATGCCACGCATCTGCAGAAAGTAAATCACATTTGTAGCAAATGTATACGGTCTCCTCTTGCACGTAACAGATTAATTGGGTGGGAGTGGTGGTGGTGACAGAAGAAGTATACTAAATAGGTCTACTAAGTAGGTCTAAATATTGACAGTATTTTACCTAGGGTGACCATACGTGCCATTTTCCCAGGACGCGTCCTGGCCAGGATTTGTTTTGGCTTTGTTTTCCTGTTTTCATGCTAGTTGAAGGTAATGATCGAAAAGTAGTTGACCAATAACATGCAAGCATTGTACATAATGAACCAATCATGTCGTGTGAGAAGGTGGGATCTACGGTCAAAGCGATGCAATTACGCGTACATATTAGGTGTGTTCGACTTAAAAGCAGTGCGGCTCAGACCGATCAGTGTTTGACATCAAAGTACCTCGAGAGCGTTTCGAAAGCATAACCGTCTATATGGTACTTTGATGTCATACACCAATCGGTCTGCACACATAAACGAAGCCAAAACCTAGATATTTTAGGCAATATAGAAATCCTGGCCAGGACCCGTCCTGGGAAAATGGCACGTATGGTCACCCTAATTTTACCTCTACCCAGAGAATGACCAGTGAAACAGAGCAAAAACAGAAACACGAAGAAAAAAAAAAAAAGACACAACTGTTCCATGTTTAGACAGAGTGTCTGTTTTACCTGACCAAAATATATGCTAATCATCACAAAAAATGAATTTGGTGTCCTGTTTATTTCTGGCTTTATTAGCGTTGCCAATTATGCCCTGAAACGAAACAGAATAAATGAGACTTAGTATGATAAGACGAGAACACATTCCCCCCTTTATAGAGCAGGCCTATGTTTAGATTCCCACAATGAGCAATTTGAAGCATTAAGCTTGTTGACACGCATCTCCAAGAGAGCAGGTGCTCACAGTGAAGAAACGCAAACATGACATCACCGTGTTTGTATCAGGAGTCTTATTAGATGACAAAATTAGTCTTTCTTTCACTAACATGCACATACACACAGAAACGGACAGACTAGTGTATACAAACACGTATTTACACATCCAAAGACACTTCACTACTTCATATTTAATCAACAACTTGTACCTAGGTTAACCTTTCACTGATCTTATTAGCTATTTCCCCCAAGCTGAATTTAGATGCGTCTTTGTTAGCTATTCAATACCGTATTGATCGCCACTATCTGGGAGAGTTATATATGGGACCAATTGGTCTTTTGTCAAATCCATGCAACACATTTGTTCATGACTCATGCCTCATGATATTAACACATTTTCAAATCTCAGGTGGTTTGGATAGGCTAATTACAGAATTCCACACAATGGTTTGGATCTTATTTTGTAACGCTATAAATATAATGCTTTTTAAATGAATAAGTAGGATTTGGTGTGAATTAATCCATTGGGTTTAGATTGGACTCTGAAAAGTTCTCAGTATCTCTGCTGAAAAAACAAAACTAAGCTGGTCTTAGCAAGCTTAAAATGATCTCCCAGCCTGTCTAAGCGGGTCTTCAGCTGGTCTACCTGTTCTCCCAGTCTGAAAAGTGCTCAAAACCACTCTAAAACAAGCCAACAGACCACCAAGCTAGGAGTCAACCAAACCAATTTGTACAAACCAGTTTAAGGTGTTAACTTCAACAAGTACATGAGTTTATAGAGCAGAGGTTGAAAAAAAAAGTATTGGTGACATCAGCTGAAACTGAAAGTCGTTATGATGAAATTTTACGAAGACAAACATTTTCTTTTGGCTTTGGAAAAAAGTGCAACAATGAATCACTCATAAGCTCTCACTCACAACTGCTTCATTATAACATGTATAAAGAAAATAAATAGGGCCAATTTTGATATCATGACTTTAAAGCTTGACATAATCAGTGCATAGTAAACTAAATGTAGTCTATAAAATATCTAACTTGACCTTTTCATGAATGACACGCTCTCTTCAATAAGTGATGATGTATTTTGCTTGCCATTCAATCTGCAAATTCATTTCATTTACTCTTCTATGTGCTGACATGTGAATGCATGCCTGTTACAGAGATAGGGAGAGAAAGATAGCATTTAAACACCTGGGACATGTATTTTGTCCCGACCGGGCTGTGATCGGCTTAAAGTGTGTGAATGGTCCTCCTTGGCTCTGTCAACCAGACTAGAACCAAGTCTAATACCCTTACATGGGCTCTCCAGCATTTTCCGGTCTTTTGCCCT